ATCTACCATCAAGGTCTACTGGAATGTGAAATCGAGAATGAGCTGTTCAACCCCCATCCATTAAAAGGGACGCAATCCCAGAAGAAGCTACACATAGAACAATCTTATTTTCCGATCGCAATTTCAAGCAAATGACTTTCCATAAGAAGGTCTTTCCTGTCCCACCACATCCATCAATAAAGAATGCATTTCCCTTATCTGCATACACCGATTCAGTAATTTCATCAAAAGCTTTTTTTTGTTGGGAATTGAGCTTGGAAATCATACCTTCAAATTGCTCACGAAGACTTGCAACATTGTAATTAAGTTCTGCAGTGATCAATCGATTAGATGAAGATGACATGTTACCAGTATCGATAACTGGTAATCCAGGAAAATCAGATAGAGTTTTGCAATTTCTTGCAAGCAATTTATCTATCTCCAGCAAACAACATTCCTGTAACTGGAGATCAGACATTTCTAAAGTAGGCATATTTAGTTCCTTCCGACGGGCATACAAAATATCATCAGATAACAGTGCCCAATTCCGCTCCCATAGTTTCCCAATGTCTGAAACTTGACAGAGGCTGATGATAGTAACAAATAAAGTTCTAAGCTTTTTACCGGATGCCCAAAGAGCCGCTTCGGCCAAACAGTCATTCCATTCATTATCTTCTGCCAATAGACCATGCGCATAACATGCTTCCTTAAAAGATTTATGCAAAACTCCATTCACTGTCCTGATGTCCTCAAAACTTTGAGCACCACGAACAATATGTAGAAGCATACGCAGATAGAACCTATCATTTGTCGGCGAAGGATGACAATAATACAACCGCCCAATACTGAACATGGATTTCCTCTTGTGCCACGCCTGCTTTGTTTTATCCCAAACATAATGTTGCGGAAATTCTACAAATGTATATTTCCTTGCTTCTGGAAATAACTTATTCATTTTCATCCATTCCAACAGCATAGAGGTTTGAGCACGCTTAGACTGGAGCACACCTTGAGGATTTGAATGCTGCCTTGAGACAACTACATTCTGCCCAGGAAGATGATAAGACATGCGCAACACTGATGGGTACTGTGAGTAGACATCAAACTTGAACAACCTCCAGCATGCTTCACCAGATGTGATATACCGACAATCAAGATATGCTTTTATCTCATCAACCCGTGGTGTGGGATTTGAACTTGATGCACCAGATTCAATTCCAGTATTAGTTTCATTGTCAACTAATGAAGCTTTTGCTCGATCTTGTGGTTTGTTGATATACTTGAACAAATATTTGATTGCCCTACCATGTCAAACAAAAATTGGACACAACAAAACTAATGAGTAGTAATGCAACAACCAAACTGATACGTTTAAACCAATAAAAAAAACACACCAAAAGCTACCAAATTTGGCACTTTCCATGGAAGGGAATAAAAAAGTAGTGTCGAGCATAAATATTATATGTGGTATGAAAAAGATACCTGGATTTATTGCAGAACTCAACATTTATATGTGCATCAAATCGCAATAATAAATAGCGATTGTACGGCACGACAAAACGATTGTCCAATGACACAGAGTTAACTTTAAAAGATATTTCACTGTCACGTCGTCGATACTTGGCAAAACCATTATCATCAATCGTCGTTTGCTCACAAAACGGCTTTGGAAAATGTTTAGTACACACACCACCTTCTGTGCAAGGAGCATTACGGCCCAAAAGACCACATGGACCATGCAGCATAAAAGCAGTTACAGCCCTATAGCCTTCTGGATCAATATCAGAGTTTGGAATTTCTGCGGATATGACGGAATCAATGGCCGTCGGCCCAGTTAGTTTACATTCCGAAGCTAGGAAAACCAGCAAATGAGCATGGGGAAGGCCACGCTTTTGAAACTCAATTGCCAGCACAACTGCAAACAAATACACTATGTATTAAGTTGGAGCCTGCCAAAACCTTATTAGGTAAAGGACAACCTGACTAAAATAATTCAACCATATGAAACAAAAGTATTGCTCAAAACTAAAATAACAATTATGGAGCATGTACGACTTACATCCAGTGGTAGTCCCAAATATTTTCTTATCTCTTATCTCAAACATTAATTGCTGCAGTTTAAGCTTGAAGACCCGAGCAATAATATCAGATCTATTGACATCTTTCCGACCATCTGCGGTTACCAAATCAACCATAAACTGGATTTCCGGCCAATTTGCATTACAGGTGAAGGTAATAAATAAATCTGGGTAGCCCAACCACCTACAAATAGCCATAGCATCCTGGAAGTTTTCATACTTGTACCGTGGACTTCCTGTGTGGGAAGCAGCCAAAATAACATGTTTTCCAGTCATTTCTAAATCAGAATCACCACGGAGGAATGCATCCACTAACCCACTCAGATAATGGGACCGAAGTTTGGCTTGGTTATTTCGGATCCAATCAAGCCGCTGTGCCTCTACTAATGCATACGCATTCACAACATACTGCTGAAATAATTTCCCAGATAATAAAACCGAATTTGACTCCTGAAATCTACTCTGTAGGCGGTATGCATAATAATCACACTGGGACAGTGTCTTGTCATTCCAAAGATTATCATCATCATCATCATCACAGCTTATGTCCGGATGCCATCCATCCTCTCCATAAGGAAATAAAATTGGGTATTGTAAAGCCATTAATGATGGATGATAATAATTAATTCTCTCCAATTCAGAACTCTTATACTGAACAATAATATCTGGCTCAAATGTATCTTGCCCTGTTTCATCAACAATCAAGGCTGCTATGTCATTCCCCGTCGGTAAATCATATTCTCTCCCATCATGAGCACGCTTGGCAATTAATTTGATCTTCACCTCTTTCACATTGCCTTCCTGTATCTTTTGCCTAGCCATCCGAAAGGTTTGAACCAGAACATTGTTTCTATCAAACATTTCTTGCAATCGTTCAACAATATCTGATCGCAATGAACTGGAGGCATCATCAACTGGAAATAGATGCAAACGACTCTGTAGTTCAGAACTTGAGTCATGAATGTATAATTGGGCAAACCTCGGTGGCTGACCGTCTGGGGGTAATAAGCTGCCTATAGAGTGATAAATTTGTCCTCCTATAGAGTACACATACACCCCTCGACCATCATTTATACCACGATCCACTTTCCCGCCCAGGGAGATAAAGCAAAACACAGCATTGTATCTACGAATGGCTTCCCGGAAATGACGACTCATAGGTGTAGAAGAATGTAACAATTCATTCAAAAACTCTGGTGGAGCACGTCTAGGGGGTAGTTTTACCTTTCCAGCCTTGCAACACAATGAGAAAGTGGGGTTAACACGACTCCTAGTAGGAACCGTACTTTCTTGCACCCACATAATTGCTGCACAGTATTGACAAATGCTTGTAGGCTCGCCCAGACTCAAAAGTTCCACAACAGGATATCCTACAATCAAAGTAGTCACATAAGATAACTCACACATGATGAATACGTATTTACAATGTACAAATATAAAATATGATGCCACAAACCATGGGAACGGGAGAACCCCCTCGGTACAGCATTAACCATCCGCCTTTTGTACAAATGACTCGCTCGCATTAAACGTGCCCTTTTTGTCCGAAGGTGGGAGATACATGAACTATAATCTGTGGTAACAAAGTTAATTATGCATGAACTAAATCCATTAGGACGACATGGAATCCTGCTCCGTGACATATACAACGCAATGCACATATGGACTATGGTATGCATATGCAAAATAGTCTAGAACACACCTTACAAAATAAAGAAACGCATTTAAAAGATACTAAGCTTACCATGTGGAATATATTCAACAGTACGTCGCAAGCGCGCATTCAAGATCTCCCGTCGTCGTTTTCGATAGGATTGAGCTATCAAGCGATCAATATGCTCAACTTGTGATTGAAGGGTGAGTATTTCTGCAATTGAAATATACAAATCAAATTATCCTGATTTTGTGCCAAAGTAAACTTTAATTTAATGTACCAACAAATGAATCACGGAACTACGTTGATTAAGACGATCCCTTTCAGCAGCGGTTTGTTGATTGGAAGGAGGTTTTGGCGAGTTGAATATAGCTCGCATGAACCCTGCAAAATACGACAGAATTAAGGCAGCGGGTATATGTTGTGTCCATTTTGAATACGTACAATAACAGTGGAACATGGAAAAAACCAAAGAAATCAAATTACATTTGCCCTTTGAATTCCGACGGTTGGGAGCACTGGTTTGCACTGAAGAGCTTCCACCAGGTTGTTGATTTCCGGACATTATCTTGATTTCAATCACACTTAAGCATGAACCAGCAAGCTCTAATTGATCAAAAATAAAGGTTTACTTAGCGGTTTGTTGATTGGAAGGAGGTTTTGGCGGGTTGAATATAGCTCGCATGAACCCTGCAAAATACGCCAGGAGGAGTTGGGGAATTCAATTGGAGGAGTAGCAACTCCCACCGCCCACGCGTCCCTCACAATTGCATATGTAGTATTGAAGTGCAGGGCTTGAGACCGAAATCGATATGGAGAAAGAAATTAACACGGCATGGACTGCCACGGCAGCTGAATATGGGTTCCGAGAGATTTCGATGGAAGCATTTCACCAGCAGTCTATGGGCCGACTACGTCAAGGGGGAAGAGTTTGGGCCGGATACTTCAGGGGGCAACAGCCCGGTCCGACTATATAATAAACTGGCCCGGTCCACCGGCAGAATGTGTTGGAGGTGAAACGCACAGTTTTATTTAAATGTGAATTGCCTAAAGTGCCCTTCCGACAAACCCTCTGCGAGCTGGAAATTTGAATCCCTGCAAACTAAACACTTGTTTTGGCTTCATATAGATCAAAATCCATGTCAAGAAGGCCCAATCCAATAATACAAAGCCAACCCAAAAGCAACCAAATCTCAAACAGATTTTAACCATTGACCGTTAGAAACCCTAAAAATTAATTAACCATTAACCGGCTTAATAATCCGTCTAATTACTAAACAAATCCCTCCCCGTCGCGTAAAACTGTAAAAAACCAACTGGAAATAAAATCAAACTTCTCCCTCCCATTCTCATTTCTATCCCTCCCCGACTTTCCCGTCTACAGTTACTGTCTGCGGTCTCCCGAACTCAAAAGCAAGTAATTCCCTCTCTCTCTCTCCCTCCCTCCAGCCTCTAGGGTTTCTTGAAACCACTCCGATTCAGTCTTTGCTTCCTTCCTCGTTCCCGCCCTCTGCACCATCAGAACTTAGCCTTAGAAGTTGTTCCAGTCGTGCGAGCCATGTCGCTGAGGCCAAACAACAACAAGAACGAGAATCGCCGCAACAAGTACAAGGTCGCCGTCGATGCCGACGAAGGCCGGAGGAGGAGGGAGGACAACATGGTGGAGATCCGGAAGAACAAGCGCGAGGAGAGCTTGATGAAGAGGCGGCGTGAAGGTCTCCAGCCTCAGCCGGCGGCTCTCCCCGGTGCTATGGAGAAGAAGGTAAACTAGTCTTGTTTTGACTTCGTATTGTTGTGGATAGTGCGATTTCAGCCTCTGTGCTGTTTAGTTTTTGTTCTTGGAGTTAGGGTTTGAGAGCAGCGGTTGTGAGATCATTCCGTTTTGAAGCACTCGAGCTACGTTCCGGTGATGATCTCGGATGCTTAATTGAATTTCTTGTTCAATGCGCAGTTGGAAAGCTTGCCTTCTCTGGTTGCTGGTGTTAATTCGGATAATAGTACTCTGCAGCTCGAAGCCACCACTCAGTTCAGAAAGCTGCTTTCCATTGGTACTCCTCGCAGTCTTTTGTAGTTGGATTCTTTCGTTTTGCCTTGTCTGTGGCATGTAATGCCGGTTGTTAGTTGTTACTGATATGTGTGTATGTATGTGGAATTGATGATTTCAGAAAGGAGTCCTCCTATTGAGGAGGTTATTCAGTCTGGTGTTGTTCCTCGCTTTGTTGAGTTTCTAGTCAGGGAGGACTTTCCCCAGCTTCAGGTATGTTACTGAATCATGATTGACAGCACTGTATTTTATGCATAGAGGTGTTTATGGGAGGGCATTAAGAGTTGAAATAACATGATTTCGAGCCTGTTGCAGTTTGAAGCTGCTTGGGCTTTGACAAACATTGCTTCTGGGACCTCTGAGAATACCAAAGTGGTGATCGACCATGGTGCTGTTCCAATATTTGTTCAGCTTCTTGGTTCAGCCACCGATGATGTTCGGGAGCAGGTATTGGTTTGCCATCCTAAAATTTATATTCTGAGTGCTGATTTTAGTCAAGAAAGTGAAACTTACGATTTACCTTGTTGGAACTGAAGGCTGTGTGGGCCTTGGGAAATGTTGCTGGTGATTCCCCGAAATGTCGTGACCTTGTTCTGAGTCATAATGCACTGTTGCCTCTTCTGGCTCAATTGAACGAGCATGCTAAGCTTTCCATGCTGAGGAATGCCACGTGGACATTATCAAACTTCTGCAGGGGAAAGCCTCAGCCTCCTTTTGATCAGGTTAGTATAGGGTTTCAATGCAGTACTTAGGCTTTTATGTTTCCGCGGGATGCTTTTGCTAGTTTTCGAACTAATAGAAGTTGAATTGGCAGGTGAGGCCAGCACTTCCTGCACTTGAGCGTCTCGTGTACTCGTCTGATGAGGAAGTCCTTACTGATGCATGTTGGGCGCTATCCTATCTTTCTGATGGTACAAACGATAAAATACAAGCTGTGATCGAGACTGGTGTTTGCCAACGGCTTATTGAGCTTCTCCTGTGAGTTTTGTTATTTCTATTTAAGTTTGGCCTTTTACTTCTGTCCGAATAAAAATGCCGACTTATGGTTTGGTTTACTTGAACCTTGTAGCCATCAATCACCTTCAGTGCTTGTTCCAGCCCTTCGCACAGTTGGAAACATTGTAACAGGAGATGATTCTCAGACCCAGGTAACAAAATCTATTTACATATTATAGTTACTGTCATCAAACCTTGTAGAACTGTATTGAATATATTGTTGGATTTGATGGACTTTCACATCGTAGTGTTAGAATGGCAGTAAAGTTTGTTCGCTTAAAATGCATGTTCAAAGAATTTATATGTAACGATATGCACTCGCTCAATCAATCAAGAATTATTATTAGCATATCTATTCTGGCTGTATAGGTCCAATCCTTCTTTTTTTGTTGTTGTTGTTGTATATAGAGTTACTTATTGTTCTCTTAAATTAACACATACAAGTTCCTTGTTTGCAGTGTATAATTAGTCATGGCGCACTCCCCTGCCTTCTCAACCTGTTGAACCTGAATTTGAAGAAGAGCATTAAGAAGGAAGCGTGCTGGACCATCTCAAACATTACAGCTGGAAACAAGGAACAGATTCAGGTAAATTTGGCGCTCATAATTCACTAATTATTTTATAAGAAAATAGAAGTGTGAACTTGCCTAATTATTGCAAAAATAACTAACTCTGTCTCCTCAACGCTCTTACAACCCTGGTTCCTATTATTGCTTGGTATTTGTGATTAGAGTGCTCACTTTGGACCTTTTGATTGTTGTGAAACAGGCTGTGATTGAAGCTAATACTTGGTATTTGTGATTAGAGTGCTCACTTTGGACCTTATGATTGTTGTGAAACAGGCTGTGATTGAAGCTAATCTGATAGGCCCTTTGGTTAATTTGCTTGTAAATGCCGAGTTTGACATAAAGAAAGAGGCTGCTTGGGCGCTCTCTAATGCTACTTCTGGTGGTACCCATGATCAAATCAAGTATGTTCCTTTGTTTTTTATTCCGATTCTAAAAGTTTTAAGTGTTTATTGGAACTGTGTCTGTTTGTTTTCGATTCTCATAAAACCTATAATTAACTCTATCTATGGTTGCTAGGTTTCTGGTGAGCCAGGGGTGTATAAAACCGTTGTGTGATCTCCTTGTTTGCCCTGATCCAAGAATTGTCACAGTTTGTCTCGAAGGACTAGAGAATATATTGAAGGTTGGGGAGTCCGAGAAGAATTTGGGACATACTGAAGTGAACTTATTTGCTCAGGCTATTGATGACGCGGAGGGTCTTGAAAAGATTGAGAATCTTCAGAGCCATGATAACAATGAGATCTATGAGAAGGCAGTTAAGATTCTGGAGACCTATTGGTTGGAGGAAGAGGACGAGACATTACCTTCTGGTGATGCTACTACCCAGCCGGGTTTTCAGTTTGGCGGAAATGACATCCCACCTGGCGGTTTCAACTTCAATTGAAGGTATGTTGCGATTATGCTTTCAAGCATATGCATGAATCTAACTAGGGGTATCAAATGGAATGGAATGGTTTGCTGTGTTCGCGGGGTTGGGTTTAAATGTGTTTCTGGTTAATTGGTTGGTGGATCATTGTCAATTGAATTGACTGAATAGAAGTTGGATTTAGTTTTTTGACTAGCCTGTAAACTTCTGAAAGCTTAGGGTGCTGAAATGTTAGGCGCAAAATATATGGTTATTAAACTTTATTTTACGCTAAAGGTCACCTGTATATGGGAAAATCTAGGTTCTAAAATGCAGGATTCTTATTTAGATCTAAATGTTAGTTTTGCATAAACTCATCAACCCAACCCGACCCAATGGATTTGTGTCAAATGGACTGGGGACTAGATGGTTTTAAGCGAGTGGGTTGGGATGGGTTGACATTTGCAACCTCTAATTTTGTAGTAATCCTTGATCTCCTGAATTGTGCATAAAAGGGTTGAGTTCTACAAACACTGCAGGTGCTTAAGTGTGTCATGATGTTGAAGTTGTGATGGTTGTTAAGAACTGTGGGGGTTGAAGTCACAGCATATCAGGGCACCTTGTGTCGTCGGAGTCTGGTCCAGCGTCCTCTCATGGGTCGATCAAGAGGTGCCTCAGTTGGTCGGTCGGTCGGTCATTAGAGTAAAGTGTCAGTCCACAAGGAGTCGGAGGTTGGGAGTGCAGTGTCCGTGTGGCCAAATCAGCAATGGCAGTTATAACGAAAGAAGAGGGTCTGGGTCAGTCGTGTCAGATAATCAGAGGGAGGCTTCCTTTTGGTGAACTTTTTTGCATCACGAAGTTCGTCGGGAGTTTTGGTTGTTTTTAGTAAAAACTCATAATATACAGCTGTATTTTTGTATTCTGGTTGATTGCATTTGCATATAGTTGGCCGCAACGCCACTGGTCACGGTCAGTCAGTCTCGTGGATTTGTTGATTCTATGAGGAAATGAAATGACAATTATGGTTTTTCCCTGTTTGAGCCTGTTATGCATGTCTCTATCTGAGTCCCACGTCCCTTTCCTTTCCTTTGATGGCGGTGTCATTAGTAGTGACATTTGGGTGAGCCTGAAGATAATACTATGATGTAATGTTTTCGTGCGAGTACTTTTCGTTTGGTCGTTGAATATCCGAAGAGTTGATGCTCTTAACTTCATGAGTCAGTCATCAACTGAATCCTTGTGAACACATCTGTTAAAGTGAATGGAATTGAGCATATTTGACATCATATGTACAAGTCTTAAGTTGGGTAAATCTACCCGACCCGCCTGGTGACGACACTACGGGAATGTCACTGTAAATTTTGTTCAGCAGCCTGACTACTATCAGTACTGTGTTTGCCAGCTCGAACGAACAAGCCTTTAAAAGAATGCGATCGAGTTTTAATGCTGAAAAGGCTAATAGAGCATGCAGACAGGACAGGAACAGGCAAAAAGCCACATAATATAATGCATTTAATGACGATGATGATATGTTGTAAAAGAGGTCATTTATGGAGTTAGCTCAGATAGCTTTGCTATGTTGCTTTCTCTCTCAGGCCTTTGCTGCTGCAATGTTCCCTTCGCAATCAGTTAAAAGTACATCTCTGAAAATGGCAGAATGCATCCAGACCTTTGACCATCATTTCAAAGCTATGGATGTATGGTCAATTTCTTTCATAGTGGCAATTAGTGATTTTGTTTAAATATTTGATGGAATTGATTGGATTCGAGCCGACGAGATTAGTAATATTATCTGTGAACGTATTGAACAATATAATAGGGAATTCAAGATTGTAAATACCGGTACCGTACTTCAAGTAGGTGACGACATTGCTCGTATTTATGGTCTTGATGAAGTCATGGCAGGTCTGATGGAGCATTTTTTGGATGATATGTCTGCTAGCCCCACTGCATGCTTGATGGCAACATTGGTTAAGCTACTTGTCTCCCTTGATCATGATCCTGAGTGAGAACATTGGTATCCCTCTCTCTCGCCCCGACTCTTAATCTCTGATGTCAGTGAATCCGCGAGCAGGGGAAAAAAAACATGAAATAGTGTATGTGGGATTCGGCTAACTAATATGATCCAAAAATATAAACAAGATTGTGTTTCGAAAATCAATCCGCTACCGCACAAGAACAAATATGTCAATTAGATACACAGCTACCAAACTACCTTAACTTTCCCCTGTGCTTCCTGTAAAACTTGGATCGAGACCAGTTTTTAAATCGGCCCATAATGTGGTCCATGAGACCGTCAATGGAGCCTCTCTTGGTCCATACATAACACAGAAATCAAACGGCAGAGGGAGGGGTATGAGTATGACCTGTCACTTTCGTTTTATATTTTCTAGCAAATCAAATAGATACGGTGTGGATTGTGCTGACCATTTTATCCCAACCTTTTTCTAGCTTCCAAAATCTTAAGGGATAATAAGTTTATTAGTTTATAGGTAAGCTGGCTTCTCAAAATTTAGCAAAATATGGGAAAAGGTTGTGCTCTGGTGTCTTCGTCGTCTCTTGTTTTAGATTTGAATAATCAAATCTAGTCAAAAAATTTATCTGATTACATTTTGGGAACCTAGCCCAATAAGATAATTTGATCTTTTTGGACAATACTTTCGAAAAAGTTCCCAAATACTGCTCAAGAGGTCACCAATTTTTAAGTTGCATTGGAGAGTTCTTAAACTCGGAGCCTAAAGAATGATAATTTGATCATACGAAATCCTTTTCTTTAACACAAGACTTGCTAGATCATTAAAACATTACTTAGAGAGAGTACACATGATGACTACCCTATAGTAATCCAAACCTTCCGATTTCGATCTATCTTCCCCAACATACCTCTCGTTTATAAAAGCCAAACACTTTCCACCAAGGTTTCCAAACCCCTATCGGACCTCTGGTTGGACTTGATCTGACCTAAGTTGGGCTTCAAAATGCCCTTCAGAAAGTCATTCGGTCTGACCCCGAAAGAGGAAGAATAAGAGAGGGGGAAGAGAGGAAGAGAAACGAAGGAAGGGAGATGGTGGGTGGGTCATAGAGGTTAGGTAGATTTAAAGTGTGGAAAATAAGCTTTTATTAGGCTAACTCCAATGGAGCCTCTATAAATGAAGGAGCCTTTATTTTTTGGGGGAAAGTTGGCTCCAATGGAGCCTCTATAAATGGAGGAGTCTCTATATTTGGTGGAGATCTCCAAAAGGATCCCCAAATTTGGGGGTGGAAATGGGGGTTCCCCCAAATATAGAGACTCCCCAAAGCCCGCCACGTGGCGTTTCTTTTTCTTTTTAAGATTTTAAGGGCTAATTGTGGTTTAATTAAGGGATTAGTTAGGGGTTTAATTAGATAAATAATTTTCAAGTGTTGTGTGTAAACCCAAATTAGGTCAATCATTTTTTGTCAACAAAAATTCGGTCTCAAAATTTAACAAATTTCTACCGGAAAATTTGTATTTAAAAATGATGACGAACTATATAAAAATTAACATGAACAAATTATATTAAGGCTTTGATAAGTACATTTTTAAGTAAATAGAAAACTTAAAAAATGGAGATCTCCAAATATAGAGAATGTAGCATTGGAGCAAAAGAAGGGAAAATGGGGATGAACCCCAAATTTGGGGATGAAGATCTCCAAATTTGAGGGCTTGCATTGGAGTTGGTCTTATATACATTTAAGTTTCATTTCAGTCACAAAATCTTTAATTAATACATTATTTGTATATATATTTAGAAAACGTCTAAACCGGCTCAAACCGGTTGGACCCCAATCAGCCAATTAAACTTCAAACCCCTTACTTAACCGGCTCAATCACTTAAACCGGTTTGACAACCTTACTTTCCACATATTATTTGAGTCCATTAGTATTTCTTATTCATTCTTAATCCTAAACAAAAACTATACCACAAGGCAACTAGTGGTTGGTAGTAAACCTACATGGATAATCTGCTGCCATGCGTTCCCCACGGTCTCAATTGATCTTGATTGTGTAGTTCTTTAATCCGCTTTTGGGTCTCACGTTGCCTACAGTGTAATACTTTGAATATATAATCTGACGTTGTTTGTTGATTGAGAAATGTGATAAATGATAATTGCATTACGATGGTATATGTAGGTTAGATGGCTGGCGTGCAAAGCAAGAAATGATGTGGCGACTTGAGAGGTATATATTTATTTTGTGTATGCGGCCTCTCCACGCCTATAGCTATATCAAAATCAATTGGGCGTCCTTTTGTTTTTAAGTTTCAACTGAGAATAAAAATGGCATAAAACAATTTATATGTTTATAAGTTAGAAATCGGGTTAATTAGGGGATTATAATTCGCCCTCTTCAATGGTCTTGTCATTCATTGATAATAGATCCTCACTCAAATTGATGTCGTGTGCTTAAGACTAACTTGCATGAGTGATACCAGTGTCGACTCAAACTCACTGCTTTCGTCAAGATATTCACAGTTTGGTCAGCAGTCTTCAAATAATCAATCTATGTTGTTCCTTTTAGTTACCAATTTCCGTATATAGTGAACATGCACCTCTATATGCTTCGTACAATTGTGAAGGACTTGATGAATGACAATCAGTATTGCACCAGTATTATCTCCATATAACCGCATCAGTGATTAGCAGTCGACTCCATATTCCAAGAGCAATCTCCGGAGCCATATCATTTATGAACTCACCTCATAGCTAGATCTATACTTAGCCTATGTCGATGATTGAGAAACTTTAACTTGCTTCCAACAACATCAGGAAACAAAAGATCGACCAAACCGAATGATCCATCCTGATGTTGATCTTCTTGTGTCCAGGCATCTTGCGTAATCCGTGTCAGCAAACGCCTCAATTGTTGGCTCTCCTCCTGCAGGAAACATTAACCCCACATCTCATGTGTGTTTCAAATATCTTAATATGCGATGTGCTTCATCTAGGTGTCTAGTCAATCTTCACTCTAACTTTAGATAAAAATTATTGTAGTTTGCTTAACCTGTTTACAAACATTCATTCTCTCATTGTAACAGTGATTTTTTATATTAATTGACATACTGATGGAAGGTTATAGTATAAACCTTCTCGTATAAACAGTTCGAAAAAACATTCCCCAACACATGCTCGTTGCACAGCGTCGTGGAAATGCTAAAATTTCAATTAGGTAAGAGCTATTAATGTTAGCTGCGTACCTATGTAGTGTCATGCATCACTAACAACAGTTTACCTGTAGAAAACATCTAATACTACAATCTATATCGTTCTGTGGGTGGAGCCTCGTTGGGTGTCCACGTAAAATAAGCATGCTAAAACTAGCAAGCCATTGTATGTCAATCCCAATAGAAAGACGACAAGACGAAGTCGAGAACACGAATCTTTCAACATACATCATCATAATTTTTTGTTACAATAAATTGTTTGACAATCACAGTCATACACCATTTCAGCACACCCAATCATTAACATGGAAGTTGGAATTGAGCAAATGGAGTGTGGTTTGAAGGTAAACTCGAAATAAAAAAGAATTGACTTCCTAAAAGAGAATGTGGGTTGACTGAATCACCAAATGAATATGAGTAGTTGAGTACACTAGTAAACGTGTGTTAACGTAACAAACTAACAATCTAACACTATATAGTATATATATATATATTTCTCTGACCAAACTGACCTATCATATGATATCTCCATTTTCAACATTTAAAAGAAAATGAAAAGATATAAGAGGGACAAGAACAAAAATTAGGGAATTGGGGGAAGAACCCAATCATGTCTTCTTCATTTTGCCGTTATTAGAATAGTACTCTTCCCATTTTGCGAGCCAAAACTGACCTAATCTCTCCCGCCAAAAACCCAATCTCCTTCCCTCCCTTTTTTTCTCTTTCGCTTCCTCAAAAGTACTTCTCCCACCAAAACAATTTGGCGCCTCTTTTTCATCCTCTTGTTATTGCGTTCCTTCATTTCCCACCTCTTCAATCCTTCCACTTTCAAATTTTTCTACGCGAATTGAAGTTTATGAAATTGAATAGTAGGTTATACAAGAAAAATAAGTGGAAAAGTAGTTTGTACTAAAATCATGGTTTAATAATGAGTCGACCATCTTCTACAGATTTTAGTCTCGTGCCCTGTATTTTCGGGTCGACCAACCTACACGATTGAGTTTCTGAAACATTGACTTGAATTCACTCTTTGAGTAGAGCTGTTCATCGAAGTAGAAGTGAATTTTGAATTCATCGGTATTTGACAAGATTATGTGATTGTTTAACTGACCTTAAATAACAACATTTAGTTTTAACAACAACAACAACAACAACAAAAAATTCTGTGACAGTCAAACTGAATATCACATTCAGACTGATTGAACAACGTTTACGAATTTCATATACTCGAGCATCGAATTACGCTAGAACTAGCTATGAGCAACCTAGACCGGGCAAATGAGGATCCAACCCGTTGACCCGACCCGAACCCGCCCAAAAAATAGAGAATGGATTAATGTTTTTAATTTTTATAACCCGAAATTCGAATGACCCGAACCCCATTAACCCGTAGTGTTTGGGTCGAATTGGGTTGTGTTGTGGCCTTGTGGGTCGACCCGCTAGTCCCGTTTCATTGCATATGTCATTCTCAAAATGATAAAATCACTCAAACTTTGGTGAGATGTTTAAAAAAATTTATTAGGATTTGAAAGACAAGTTTGAAGTGTAAAGATAATCAAACATCATTTGTTTATTGTAGTAGTATTATTTTCGTCATTGTTTTTTGACAAGTTGTGCAATTTGTATTTCTTTTCATTAGCATGGAAGGAGTTAAGCATTTGTTAATTGACACGTGTTAGGCAAACTATTGTCGCACATAAGTAAAAATCTGTATTCTTTAAAAATTTATGAAGCAAGTTAGATATTGTTTCCGAGAACGCTCATGACCCGAAACCCGATGAGTTGAGTCAACATTTGACTCGAAATCAGCAAACCCATCATGACCCGACCCTTGAAGACCCGTAACCCGAGATTCCCAACCTGAAATTACCCAACCCGACCCGTTTGCCAGATCTAGAGCAACCGCATAACGACCAAAAATATTTCATGAACCTACACAACCAAATCACATCCTAGTTCATAATAATCAAAATAGAGATCAATCACAATCGATTCAAACACGATCAACGCTGATTCCCGTGCCTATCAAAATTCCCTAAGCACGATCATATAAGACACTTGACTTCACATCTTGAATTGATGAATTCAAAATTTTTTGAACACCAAAATCAAATCTTTTTGCCAAATCGGCCAAAACCTGAATCTGAATGACCTAGGTCTGGCGGGATGATGGGTACCTTTTTTGTAGGTCAAAACTCAAAAGGAGTTTCCTCATCCCACGAGGGCGTTATTGTAATTCAACAAAAACAAGGGCGCGTTAGGGTTTCCTTCCCCCATTTATAAACCTCGTTTTTGGATCGCTGCCGTGCGGTTGTATTAGCTGTAATTGTCGGTTCGATTCCCTCTCTCCTTCTTCACTTCCCCCTTCTCTTACTTAGCTCTCTGCCTCCAATTTTTTTCCCTCCCTGATCAAATTTCTGATCATACTTTCGCCTCCATTATCATCATCTGATTCCCTGATCACTTCACCTTCTCCCTCGTCCAGTCCGAATCTGATCACGATCATTTCTGTAGCTTGATTAGATCACCACCTTCCAAATCTTACCTAGATCTCTGTTCTCACAAGCTTCTACTTGATTCACTACCCAGCTCGAGTTCAGCCTCCAATCGGGGAACTTGACAGCTGCCCATTTCAGCTCATAGCCATTCCCGATCTGGGTTCCTGTTAGATCTCGAGTACACCCGCCTTAAAATGCCCGATCCGAGTGACAAAGTGAGTTCCATCTTCCATTCCCCTGGTCTCGATCTCTCTGATTAGAGCAGCTAGCTAATCAAAGTTTATCTTTGTTTTCAGATGTCGGGCTACGCCGACGACGACGGCAGCCGGGGATCCTCGCCGGGAGGAGAAGGAGACGGCCAACAGAAGAAGACGTGCGCCGATTGCGGAACGAGCAAGACCCCTCTATGGAGAGGCGGCCCTGCCGGTCCCAAGGTAAATTAATCATCGCCAGCCGTTCATTACAATCATGATCGATCTCTGATTCAATCTCCACCGTCCGATCTCTGTTTCTGATCATGGGTTTTGTCCTTTTCCCCTTGCAGTCGCTTTGCAACGCGTGTGGGATCAGGAGCAGGAAGAAGAGAAGGGATATACTAGGGTTAAACAAATCGTCATCCACCGAGAAGAAATCGGCGGCGAAGAAGGCCCTGACCCATGGCGGCGGCGGCGGAGGAGGGCATAATGGTCACACCAGCAGTAACAAGCTGGTGGGGAACGGGTTGAAAGCGAGATTTGTGGCGTTGGGAAGGGAAGTGATGATGAAGCAGCAGCAGAGATCGAAGGTGGAGAAGCAGAGAAGGAAGTTGGGGGAGGTAGAGCAAGCGGCGGTTCTGTTGATGGCGTTATCTTATGGCTCTGTTTATGCCTAATCATTGGTTTGGTTTCTAATTAGGGATTTGGGTAATCAATAAGCAAGAACCCAAATAGAATGAGAGGAAAATTTGTATTAGCTGACCAAAATTTAAGATTAGTAGATGGGTTTAGTGAGTTGGGTTTGAATGTGTAATCCTTAAAAGTTTTGGAGGGTGCTAACTGTATTTGATGATGATGTTTGTTGTTGTTCTTAGGGTTTGGGTGGACAGTGAAAAGAAATGTGGTGGGTGGGTGGATGGGGTTGTGTTGAATTGAAGAGGAGATGAGCAAAAAAGAAAGAAAAAAAAGTGCTGCAATGATTTTTATAATATTCAATTCTATTCTATTTAACAGCTGTTGTGATGGCGATGGGTCTTGGTTTGTTGGTTGTCGGATTCATTGTCAAGATTCTATTATGCTCTCTATTGAGTATTAAGTTTGGCATTTACCTTAATTTGGGGTCAATCTAAACCCTAATAAATTCTCTAACAAAATGAGACTATCATGAGATTGTGGTATGATGGATGTTCCTTCACTTTGTCGGTAATTAATGGTTTAATCATTGTCTGTGGGAGTTGGAGTAGTTGGGGCTAATCTGTTGCCAACTAGGTATTTGTCATGTCTTAATTTCTTCAATGAAAATTTTTATACGATTGAAGGGAGAATTTATCATAGTTAAGTAGTGACGATATTTCAAAATGAGACGGCGAGTAAATTTAGATTTGTACAAAACTGAAAAAGGTGTTGCTAATTACTGTAGAAAAAAGGGTGGTGCTTCGCCTTGCAAATATTATGGGACATGTATCAGTACAGTTGCTGCTCCGCCCCATCTTGACTCGTCATATGCATCTTGTGGTAAATAATGATGTCAATGTTGTTAGGTTAAGCACAAGAAGCGTCATTCCGAAATCTTCATTTTCAGTCTCCATAATTAATTTCTTTGTTTGGATTTCATTATCATGATTAGTCATTTGCGAGGTTTGGAGTATGAGGTTTGGAGGAAATCGAATGTCTAGATAGGGTTCTCATAAGGCAACATTGTGGCAATGGAGTAATGCTGACCCAATTTGAAGCACTTTAAGTTCTTATTAAGCAAGACGAACTGTTCTCTTGCATAAAAGAACCGCAACTACGTTAAAGGAATGTGTTAAGTGTGAGAAAGGAGTGACTCGGGTTTTAATTCATAAGAAAAATTTAGGTTAGGGAAACTTAATCAACATGGTTAAACTTTGATCCATAATTGCACCATCATTGCAAGGGTTGGCGAAGGGCACAAAGTATGATCAACTTTATTAAGTTGGTGATTAGTGTTTGAGAGTGGTATATGATCCAGTATAACCTTCTCCCAACAACTCGAGTTATTGGGAGCAACTGGTTCATGACATGGTATCAGAGCCTAGAACCGAAAGGTCATGTGTTCGATCGAATCTCCACGACCCCCAATATTAACCGTTGTCTTTCAAGCACATGGCATGGTGGGCCTGTGCAAACTTCAAGCCCATGGGTTGGCTTTCGTTTGAGAGGACGTGTTTGAGATATATGATCCAGTATAACCTTCTTCCAATAACTCGAGTTATTGGTATCAACTGGTTCTTGACAATTAGGATTTTGGCTAAGGATGGGGAAGAAGAGGGCAGCAAAAGAAGCCTGCATGCTACATTCTTTTTCTTTCACTTAAAGGAGATTCCTCAAAGAATAGAGAACACAAGTCCTTTCCTTTCCACAACAATGGCATCATATCTTTTTTCTATTTTACTAGTTGACTTGTGGCCTTCTCCGTTTGGATTTAAGGTTTTGCCTTATTCTTTATTTATAGGTTTTCTGTGGTGGGTTGCTTTCGTACCAGTTTTAGTAATGGGACAGAGAGACAGAGAACAAGAGCATGAGAAGACCAAAGGTTGTAGACTAGTAGTAGAATGATGATAACTTCACTCTCTTCTTATAGAATCTTCATATATGAATCTTGACAGCAAAGAAAGTCAAAAAATTTCCCTCGTGGTTGAGGTCATGTGAAAAATAATAAAATAAATGGGTTAAAGACACATTTGGTCACTGAGATTACAAAATCGGGACATGTTTAGTCACTAGAAAAAGTTAATATCAAATTTGGTCACTATAATTACTAAAACTGGACGCATTTAGTCACTCGCCGTTAGTCTCCGTCCAACTCCGTTAATGAAGTCCGTTAAGTGCTGATGTGGCAAACAGAATTGCCTAATCAGCCGGATATAACCCAACAAAAATAAAACCCGACCCGCCACGTCATTAAAACCAACCCAACCCAACCCTTCTTCCTCCTTCCTCCCACCTCCTTCTTTCCCCAAAACCGCCGCCGCCGATCTCCTCCTTTGCCCTTTCCAATTTTCACATTCCGTAACAGAGCAAAAGAGACTCTGTTTTTTGCCCCCGCAACTGAACAATTTACAACCTCTGTAATCCAACCACGTCTTCTTATCTCTCCTTCTCCGGCAGGAATAGGGTACAGTTTTAGAGACAGAGATGGGGGGAGGCGGCGGCGAAAGAGGAGGAGCAGGAGAAGCCCGGCCGAGGGAGCTCGATGCCACGCCGACGTGGGCCGTCGCAGTTGTTTGCGCTGCCATCATCGTCATCTCCATTGTCTTGGAGAAATTCCTCCACTTGACCGAAGAGGTAACGCAAAAATGATTACAGATTCATCAGGCTTCTTATTTCAAATTAACGAATTGGGATTCGTCACTTTGAATCAGATTAATTGAATTGACTGTTAGCCTAATATTGATTTGTCTGTGTGTTGATTTGCAGTGGTTCATCTCCGGTGGACGAGCGTGATGGGTTCAGCAGTGGTTCATCTCCGGAGCGTGATTGGGAGAAAGGTGGGAGGAAAGAGGAGAGCGGCGACGGTGGTTTTGGGGAAAGAAGGAGGTGGGAGGAAGGAGGAAGAAGGGTTGGGTCATGGGTTGGGTTGGATTGGTTTTATTGACGTGGCGGGTCGGGTTTTATTTTTGTTGGGTTATATCCGGCTGATTAGGCAATTCTGTTTGCCACATCAGCACTTAACGGACTTCATTAACGGAGTTGGACGGAGACTAACGGCGAGTGACTAAATGCGTCCAGTTTTAGTAATTGTAGTGACCAAATTTGATATTAACTTTTTCTAGTGACTAAACATGTCCCGATTTTGTAATCTCAGTGACCAAATGTGTCTTTAACCCTAAAATAAATTGTAGTTTGGGTAACCACTCCTTTCGATCTAATATCATGTATATAATATTAAGCAAAATTTTATCGATATATTGTGCCAAAATAACTTTATATAAAAAATTATACATGAATCATCTCCATCAAATCTCAGTTATAACTTGGGATTTTTCCAGAAATAACACAGTTTAAAAAATTTTCCAAAAATAACACCCAATTCCGTAAAATTCCAAAAATAGCACCCTTTCTGCAAAACCGCCACCCGTACCAGCGGTTTAGGCAAAAACCGCTACCCGGGGGTACTTTTTTTTATGAAAACCGCACTGGTAGGGGGCGGTTTTGCAAATCGCACCCCCACCATGCGATCTGTTTTTTTTAAAAAGAATCATAACCTAGGTGGAAACTTCAAACGAACGTATCTTTGTGTTGGTGTATCCGATCGTCGCGAATTTTTTTTATTCCGCATAACCTTTTGAGATATTGCAAGCCGAAGACTGCCGAAGGTGGTTTGGTCCTGCTTTCGTCCCAAAAAATGTCGTTTGCTACCCCGAATGAGCTTTTTGCCGATTTCGTCAAACTTTGGACAACCATAACTTTGTGCTCCAAAATCCAGATGACATGAATTTTTTTTTCGCATAAATTTTTAAGGAATACAACTTTTATCATAGACATAATTTCAAAATGTAAGTGGATTGCTGAGAAGGGAAAGTAAGCTATTCCCAAAATCCTGTATATCCAAAAATAATTCCTGTTTTGAAAATTCATTCCTAGTAAAAATTGTAGTCCTTAAATGTTATGCGAAATAAGAAAATTTCATGCCGTTTGGATTTTGGAGCACAAAGTTATGGTTGTCAAAAGTTTTACGAAATAGGAAAAAAGCTCGTTCTGGGTAGCAAACGACATTTTTTGGGACGAAGACGGGACCAAACCACCTTTGGCAGTCTTCGGCTTGCAAGATCTCAAAAGGTTATGAATAATAAAAAAATTCGGGACGATCGGATACCCAAACACAAAGATACGTTTGTTTAAAGTTTCCACCTAGATTAGGATTAAAAAAAAACAGACTGCATGGTGGTGGTGCGGTTTGCAAAACTGGCCCCTACCAGTGCGGTTTTCATCGAAAAACGCGCCACCGGGAGGCGGTTTTCGCCTAAACCGCTGGAACGGGTGGCGGTTAGACCGCTTTTGCAGAAAGGGTGCTATTTTTGGAAGTTTTCGGAGTTGTGTGCTATTTTTGGAATTTTTTTTTCCTGAATAGTGCTATTTCTGGAAAAATCTCTTATAACTTCTAGCTAGGCCTTGTTTGTTTCATGGAATTCATCATGGATTTGGTACGTAAAAACCAAACATCATAGACTTTGCACACAATCCGTTGTTTGCATGATGGATTTAGCATGAATAAATCTGTGGGGCCCACATACTTTTATGGTCCAAATCCGTGGACCCCACGGACTTGAGAATTCCACCCCAAGAGGTGGGATTTGTGTTGGCCTGTTGGGGTACAAAGTCCATGATGACAAAAAGATTTTAACCCTACTTATCAAACTAATCACCAACTTATCCTTTTTCATTTACTAATGACCAACTTGTAGTGCATATTAATTTTGCATTCAATATTCGTAATTATTCATTGCACGCAAACACTACATGATTAATCTCAAGACATACTTTTGCAACATTGAAAATCTTAAAAAATTGTCTAATTATGTGTATAATATGAAGTTGTTATTGATTAATCATGTTCATTTGTTTCGATTGTGGTAGTAGGACGAAGCTATTGGATGAAAATTGTTTTTGTAACAAAAATTATAATGTAAAAAATAGATAATACTCAATAAGGGCACTAGCGTAAATTCCTAATACAACCACAAATATAACAATGTCAAATCCATCATGATATCCAACAAGCAAACGATGGTTTGTACCAAAAACCAAATGAAACAATTCCATCATATATCCATGGTTTTGTAAAACCCAGGTTTTAACCAAAACCTTCATTTTTCATATCCATGAAGCAAACGATGTAATCAAAAGATGTCATCAAAGATGAAACTCCCTACGTCCTTATGGTCCTCTTTATTTGTTTGGTGTTAAAGTGGTGTTGGATTATGGTGTGTGGGCCCCATGTATGTGGGATTATTTTGAGCTCAAAATTCGTGGGGTCCACAAATTATAAAATCCCACCTATTTAGTTGGAATTTTGTGGGAGGCTA